GCGCAGCGCCTGCACGGCGGGGCTCTGCAGACTAGGAAGGACGGGGCTACGGAGCCCACGCCGCTGCGTCTACGGGGCGTCTGTTAGTGCCGGAGCAGGTGCCGAGACTGCTGCCCTGGCTGTGCCGACCGCCAGGCTGGGCAATCTCCTCCCGCCGGGGGGGAGGGGGGTGGCGGCACTGGAAGTGGGCTTGGCAGGAGAGCTAAAGCACCAGCCCCAGCCAGGGTCCCTCTGCGCGGTCACGCAGAGAACGGGGCGCGGTCCCGCACGCACCTGGCGCCCTCTGGGGCAGCACGCGAGCGAAGGCAGGCAAGATTATCGAGGCTCCACTCGGGTTCTGCACCTCCTCAGCCACGCGCCAGCTCGTCTGCTTTATTCCGCTGGGGGCCCGACAGCCTGGCACGCCCCTGGAGTCCCATGCATGCACTTCTCTCAAGGGCGGCTGGAACGGTCCTTGCAACTGAGCCCGGAGCATTGAGCTGCCCCGCAAAAGGGGCTGGCTCCTCCTCTGCAGCTTTCTTAGGTAAAGAGATTCCCCTGCATGTTTCCAGCGAGAGACCCCAGAGCCATTAGGATTCCGCTGGGGGCCCGACAGCCTGGCACGCCCCTGGAGTCCCATGCATGCACTTCTCTCAAGGGCGGCTGGAACGGTCCTTGCAACTGAGCCCGGAGCATTGAGCTGCCCCGCAAAAGGGGCTGGCTCCTCCTCTGCAGCTTTCTTAGGTAAAGAGATTCCCCTGCATGTTTCCAGCGAGAGACCCCAGAGCCATTAGGAACGGCTCCATGAGCAGCCAGCCTGGAGTTACTAACAGCAAATCCTGCCAGACCAGCTTGATTTCGCCCTTTGGCAGGCTGCCTCCTTTGGTAGCGAGGGAACATGCTGGACCTCCGCACCACTCCCCACCCATGGCACGCTGACGGTAAGCTGGCGAAGCGTGGCTTGGGGGAACTACCGCCAGGCGGATACCCACTGGAGAATGACCACAAAGAGTAACTACTGCCGGGGGGAGAGCTTATGCTCTGTTGCAAACAACGCAGAGGCAATGGCAGGGGGGACGAGGCGCGCACAGCATGCATAGCGCCGCTCTGTGTGGCACTGGCCAGGCCTCAGCTGGAGAACCGGGTGCGTTTCAGCCACCGCTGTATGGAACGGATGGCGAGGAACCAGAAAGGAGCCAGACGTGGGTGGGGTCACTTGGGCGTGGCTCTCGACTGTGCCCCGGACACGAAAAGGGTTCCCCACCCCGGGTTAGCTGGGAAAAGGGGAGAGGAAGTGGGGCCATGATAGCTGCTTCCAATATTTGAGAAGCTGTCATCAAAAGGCGGGAAGTTGCGCTCTTGCCACAGAAGACAGGACTAGAGGCAATGGGCTGAGCACAGCCCAGCAGAGTCAGCTGGAGTCTCGTGAAAACTTCCTGCCAGCAGAGCAGGAGAACGGGACAGAGCGAAGGGAGGCTGCGCACGCTCCGCCACTGGAGGTGGTTGGCACACAACACGGCCAGCCCCCTGGCCGGCGTTACACTAGACAGGCCCTTGTGGCCCCTGCAAGCCTCACGGCTCAAGGATTCATAGAATCATAGAATCATAGGACTGGAAGGGACCTCAAGAGGTCATCGAGTCCAGCCCCCCGCCCTCAAGGATTCTACCACCGCTGACGCTTTATCACGGGAAGATTCTCCCCCGAGGCCTGCAAGGTTTTTAGGTAAATACGTGTTGAAAAAAGACAAGTTTGGAGCTCTCTAAAATCCTTTCCTTCTCCGCTACCAGGTTACACTTCCGTAGAACCCAGGCTGTGCTAATCCTAACAGGTCCCCAGCAGCCATAGGGTCTTCCAGGAAACAGGTAAGTCCTGAAAGTCTAAAGAGAAAACCAAAGAAAAATGTGGAGAAAAGAGGCTTCCAAGCCTTTACACAGCCCAGAGGACCCAGGCCTCGCATGCTGCAGAACACACAGAGCTGCGCGACTAGTCCATACACTGCACTGGGAATTCAAAAGGTCTTCTCCGGCGGAACCGAAATCTGTTGCTACACCACCTCCTCCCGCCATAAAGGAAAGCCAAGGAGCTGACGCCACTAATGCAGCCCCAGGGGAAAGCGGGGGAGTCACTGGATAGATACCCTCCTCTCAGCCTCCACAAAGCCCCTGAGCCTGCAGGCCAGTTCCTGGGTTTAACTATTCCGGTATTTTCAGGCATTTCCATTCCTCTTTGATCAACAGGCACATCAGCAACCAAACCCTCCATCCACCCACACATCCCTAAGAGCTCCTTTTGTACTGCCCAGAGAGCGCAAGTGCTCAAGCAGACGTTCCTGGCTGCACCGAGATCACCTTCCGGCCTGTCCCCAGAAGAGGGCTGCTCGGGGATCTGCTGACAGGCACGTTCATTTCTTTGTTTACCAAAAACGCTAATTAGCCCAAACCAAACCTTCGGTGGGGAAGGCGGCTCAGCTCCAGGAGGGAGTTTCCAGTCAAAAGCAGAGCGAGAGAAACAGCCTGTAAGGCCAGCGGCCAGCACACTCGCTTGGGATGCGGGAGAGCCCCAACCCTGCCTGAGTCAGGCAGAGTGGGCACGCTGGCCAGGGTCTCCACAACACCGGTTACTGCCTATCGGCTCTTGTGGGGCAGAAAGGGCCACTCATGCTCCGAGTTTTGCACGGTCTTGATTTCATTCCAACACAGAACAACAAAGGTCCAAATCACAACAAGCTTTCGTGAAGTCCAATTCCACTCTCTCCCCAACCTGCCGACCCCTCCTTTGGCTCCCTGTCACGGGCTCACACAAGCACCACTCTTCCACGCACCCTCGCACGTGGGACGGTCCTTCCGAGCCTGTCTACAGGCGCACCCGCTCCTGAGCCAGCCCGGGCCAATCCGCCAACGGGCACAGGGCAGCAAGGCAGATACCCACCTGTCCACGGTGGCGACTGGAGTTTGTCCCTCGCCCCCGGTGCCCCCAGTATCCTAGGCACATACTTCGCCTGTTCCACTAGCCCCCTAGGGAAACCCACGGACACCTCACCAACCTGGAATTCAAGGGGCACTCACGTCGGCACGGGGGGGCCTGCACTGCAAGCTCTCTGAGGCAGGGGTTATATTTTCTGATATCCCGGTACCGCTCCCAGCACAACGGGCCCCTGCCCCTGCCTGGGGCTTACACGCCTACTGCAAGGAACACGAATGGTCACCGTGAAAGAGGAAGCCAGACCGTGACAAGGGCCTGCTGGAGCTGGCTGAGAAACTGCGGATCCTGCGAGTCCCCAGGGCCCCATCCGAACACGCGCCAGCCAACAGCAATAGCCAAGAAGTGCCACTCACCGGCGTCAGCAGCTGGGCACTTGCGGATGGTGAAGATCTGACCCAGGTCCTCCTCTTCCTCGGGCAGGCCCTTCTGCAGGCGCTGCAACTTGCGCAGGCTCTCGCTGCGCTGGTGCTTCATGGAGCGCACGTGCTGCAGGAGGTTCAGCTTGGCCTTGGTGGAGTAGTTGCAGAGGACACAGTGGTAATAGCAGCTCTCGCCCTCAAGCCCGCTCTCGTGGTGCTGAAGGTGCTGGAAGAACAAGGCAGAGACGCGAGCGCCGGAGTTAGAAGAGGCTCCACTGCAGCCTGCAGGGGCTGCTGCCCCCCAAGCTGACGAAAGCCGGGACGCGAGGCCTTCCCCTGGGGCCGGCACGGGGAGGCAGCAGGGAGCGGGGCTGCGCTGCCCTTGGGCAGAGGGGCGACTGGGGGCACGGGACTGCTTTGTTTGATTAAGGGCTGCCACGTGCTCAGGCCCACCCCAAGAGCCTGTCGGCGGCCAGAACAGACCGGACACCGCGGCTGCACCACAGGACTGCAGGGGCCAGCGACTCCTCCTTGAAAGGAGTGGGCCTGCTGACCCCCCTGCCTTGCAGCCCTGGCGCCGAGCCACAGAAAGGCGCCTTTTGGCGCTGTGGGGGGGGCGCTGTCCCAGCGACCACGGCCGCACAAGGCAAGACCCGG